TTTAATTTTTTTAATACTTAAATAAGATCATGTTCGACTATTTAGATTATTTTTTTTTAATATGTAGTTTTATAAAATGTTTTTCTTTTTGATTGCTGTCTAAGATTATTTATTATTTTTTAAATAAATAATATTTAGATCTGATTGTGTTCCACAAACACCTCACATCATTTTTGTTTAAATTTTTATTAAAACACTGTTTGAAACTATTAATTAAAAAAATGGTTACGTTCAAGATCGCATATATTTTCACTGAAAAACTCACACATTAATTCATTGAGTTGAAATTTTAAGGAATACTAATAAAAATCTAAATTTAATATTGTACTAAATGTATTTATTGCAGATTAGTAAAAATTACAAGATACAAAAGCTGAAGTATAATTAATATATAAAATTAATTTTATAGTCACCTTAAAAAATATAATCATTATTTAAATATCAATTAATAATTGGCACGATTTTCTAAATTGACATAATTACCACAATTCACTAGCAGATATCTTATTTACAAATAAGTCTTTAAAACCCTTTACTACTACATTGGCTTGATACCATTCAAGCAAATCAGTTTCTATGCATTCATTTACCGAATTGTCATCACATGTATTACTTGTATTACATTTCGATTGGGAAACTTGAGAATCACAGTGTATAGATAAATGACTACAGCAATTACTTAAAACTTTTTTATCATTAATTAATTCAACAGTGTAATGCTTAATTCTAGATGGCAAACTGTAATTTTCTTTATAAGTAAAGAAATCATTGGTATTATTCATTTCAGTCTTCTTAATTTTCTTAAGCAAAACAAAAGTGTTAGTTGAAGGGATGGACGATTCCATTGCTTTAATCCAGTCTTCCGATAAAAATATACTTCTAGAATAATTACAAAAAAATGAGTCATTGAAAACAAACAGATAACGACATATTTTTAGATAGCAAAAAATTTCAAAAGTTTCTCTTATATCTCTTAAAAATTATATCACCTTAGTATTTTTTGCTGCTGTTTCTGCATACTTCTCAAATGGTTTTCCTCTATATGTCCTTTACTTATAAAAGGTATTTTAATAATAAAAATCTCCTTAGCACACAAAGGAGTCGAACCAAACAAAATCAACACTTCTTTAATTAAATCCTCACATTTTAAAAATTCACTTTTAATTTGTTTCATTATATCTTCAAGTGTATCAAAGGCTGCAGATGCAACCTTATAATACTTCTCAATATTGAGATTAATGTTTTTACACTCTTTCTTTCCTAATGAACTTCTTTTGCGTTTAATAGCACTTTCCAACCAATTAAACGAGTATGGAATTTGAGACCTCTGATAAACTAGATTTTTAATAATTTCATTAACTAAGGCTGCACATGTAAGAGGTGTGAGAATTAAGTCTGATACATTAACTGATATAAAGTATGAATTCTTTTCATCAGTCTTCATTTCTTTACTTTTCAAAAAACTGAACTTTCTAAGTAACAGCCGTTAAACATTCAGGTTATGTTCCTTTTATGGTTAATTTTGATAGATAAATAAGTATAATATGTCTGTAATCTATGGTTAATTTTCATAGAAATGTTTTTAATCCAAACTTAAAAAAAAACTATTTTCGCAATTCTAAGTTTAAAAAGAAATTCATTTAAATAATATTTATAATGTTAATTACTAACAATTAATAATATTTTTTTCAGATAGCTAAGCCAATTTTAACCATCAACGAACAATATTCACAGTCTAAACACTAAACATTCTGCTTAGGTCATATAGCCACCACCAGAACTATTCTATGGTAGCTACATAACCTTTATTTTAATTGGAGGTTTTCGGTAATTTTATAATTCACATTTGCAAGGTGAATTGTTTTTAATTTAAATTAAATTTAACGAGCTATCAAAGCGACAAATCTTTGGTGTAATTAAATGTGTATGCATATGCTCAACACTTTGTGGATGTTTGAATTATGTAAATTATAAATCTTAAGGTTTGTGCCTTTTTTAAAATAGTAATTTCATAAAGCTGTAGATGTAGTGAATCCTAAGGATATTTTTAAAAAACTTTTTATTCTAATATAAAACTTAGTAGGGTAACTTCTTACACATTTTTTTAAATTTTTTAGATTCATAATGGCTTCATATACTGTAACTTCTATAACCCAGATTAGCACTTCTGTTGATCCATTTATTTCAAATGAACAAGAAAACAAAGACTTAATTGAGGGTAAGCTAACCTGAAGAGAATTAACAAAAAGCTTACTTTAATTTTTTAAGATGTCAGTTTTGGTGGTGTGTTTTCCGACACAAAATATGCATGGTTGGTAAATGGAGCTACTTTAAAAGTAATCAACACTAGGACATCCCAAGAAATAAGTTGCTGGGTTTTTGGAAATATTTTGAAAGATTGGACTGCTAAAATTAACTGTGTAGAAGAACTTCCACGTATTAATTATAAGTTTCCATTAATAGTAGTCGGTTTAAAATGTGTATTAAATAGAGGAATGGTATGTATATTTGAGTTCACAGGATCAAAAGTATTAAGGGCTATTGAAGTTCCTACTGAGGTAAGATATAAAAAACATTAAGTACCTATGTGTTATCATTCTTGGTTATATATTTTTATGTTTTAAGGTAACAAATATTGGAATAATAGATACAGGATTAAATGATTGTTTATTACCTGAACCATTACGAGCATTTGATGGAGCAATAGCTGTAGGTACAATCGGTGGAGAGGTGTATCTTTTAACTTNTGTGTTATCATTCTTGGTTATATATTTTTATGTTTTAAGGTAACAAATATTGGAATAATAGATACAGGATTAAATGATTGTTTATTACCTGAACCATTACGAGCATTTGATGGAGCAATAGCTGTAGGTACAATCGGTGGAGAGGTGTATCTTTTAGATTTATGTATAGAAGCTTGTGAAGATGGTAAGGATTTTTCAGTGCATTTAAAAACAATTAGACTTTATATATATTTGGAAAAAAACTCTTAGTCTTAATTACATTTTTTAAGTCACCATTGTATATTTTTAAAGCATCCCTATTATGTTAAGAATAATTTACAGTGGAATATGCATTATTCGTTCTTGAAAGTATCTTCAAAATTGTTTATTTGGTGCACTCATTACTTATAAGTTTATTTTATATGAAATATTTCAGCTATTACTGCATTTAGAAACATAAGAGATGAAGCCAATCTGTGCAAAATGATGGAGCTCTCTCTTAATAATATACCACATTTAGAAACATATAAACAGCAATCTAATAGAAAATCAGAACATCTTAGTTTACGTTTAAACGGTGAGTGTAATTACATAAATGTAATTGTGTTATTTTTATAATTGTTTCTCACTTATAAATCATTTGTTAAATCAACTTTTGGAAATAAAATAAATATAATTTTTTACTTTCAGATGTTGAAAATGAAGTAAGGCAAGTTTTTGTTCTCAAGGGACCAACAGGCAAAGAGCATGCCCATGTTAATAAAGTGGAAGTTGCCATTAGTGCATTACATTACTGTCCACAGTTGGGATCTTTATTGATTGGTTACAACTTTGGTGCATGGCAACTTTGGGACCTTATGCAAATCAAACTTCTTTACACATCTCCAATTTTTGAAAATAATATACCTGTCACAAATTTTGCAGTGCAGGTAAGTTTTACTTTTGTACCAATAAAGTTGGAGTTTCACAGTATTTTTTGTGTTTAGGAGCCTTGTGATGACCCAAGAGCATTTTGCTACGTATGGGTGATCTACAGTAACAACGAACGCTACATGGCGGGATTCCCCACTGCTGTCATGTACGCTCTTAATTATGGTTCTAAAGAATGGCATGAAGGATACGGTTTTTTGTATGAAGTAAGCACCTGTTACATTAAAAAATTAATCCTACTATCATCAATATGTACTTGTTAATTTATTATTATATTTACCATTTATTAAATTTGGCGTAAAATGTGATAAATATAGGAATGAAATTTTAAAGTTTTAAATTCACCTTTGTATATAATAAAAGAATGTGTTAAAATCTGTTTCAAAAGGTGATTGAAACTATATAATAGTAATAATAATAATAATCAGTTAACTGGTGCTTTTTACTATATATACATCACAGATTTTCTTCATAAGAAGTATTTATATATTTATTTTTGTTTAGGATCTTCGTTCATGCTCTCCTAGATTCCAAAGAGAGCTTAAACTTGCAGACGACAGAGACGTTAAACCAACAGGTGGTGAATGTTTAAGATGTGTATCTGTAAATAAAGGTGTAGCTAAAGCCAATTCCCCAAACGAATCTTATGAAGACGCATGCTCTTGTTGTTTTTTCATTTGGAATATTTGGGGAAAAGATGGAATAGTTTATACTTATTTAAGCCTTTTTGACCTGAATCAGTGGTACAAAGAACAAATGCCAGGTAATTTTTTATTACTTTGATCTTATTTAATTTTCTGCTCCCTTTATTCATATATTCCTCAAAGCTGTTCTTTTTATAAATTTATTCAGAAATGTTTCCCTATTATATTACAGAGTTTTCTCAAAAAGGGGAAGACATTGATAGTTCCTATATAAGTACTACTTGTCTATCTGACGTTATTAAAAATGCAAACCAAACTGAATCATTTGTTCTGGACGTATGTATAAATATCAATTCTATTAATCAGTTTAAAGGCATTACTCGACTTGAAGAACATTATTTTCCTTCATCAATGTCATTTGGTAAGATTTTTATTGTTTTATGTTATTCCATTTACGTGATAGTCCCATTTACATATTTAATATGAATTTTAGGTATCACTATTCACTGTATAGTATATATACTATAAATATTCCGTTTTTTTATAATTAGTCATATAAAAATGAGTAGTAACTTTTTCATATAATCCATTTATAAGAAATAAGGATAACTGTTGTATACCTAATACAATTAAACAAAGTCAAACAACATGTAGGTTTTAAATTCAATGTGCAGAATAGTGTACCCTTTCAACAATTGCTCACTCTAATACTCTATTAATAATTTAAATGCAAAATTTCCTTTGTTTTTTGTTTTATTCATATTATGACCTAAGGTAATTCAACGAAATATTTAAAATATTCAATACATATAGAAAACGGCATTGTTTTCGAACTATATCAAATTTTCTTTTTGTTACAACACTATGTTAAACAGCGTTATAATTTTTTATTTAGATTTATGTGTATTAAGAGAAAACGACGTGTCTCTTATTAAAAATAGAGGTAGCCAAAAAAGTTTACTTTTTCTGATGGAGTCTAAAGGTCCTCTCTGTTTTGTTGAACCAACCGAACTATATCAACAGTGCATTAAATTAGGGCTAACTCCACTTTTCACTGAAACTCTTTCGCCTTCTTCTGCGACTTTGGTAAACAATTTTGAACGAATATTTTTCGTATATTATAATTTTTTTTTTTTCAAGGAATATCAACGAGAGTTTCTTTTAAGTGTTGCCTTAGAACAGCAATTAGTTGGATGGCTATTTAAATGTGGGTCATCATCAAGCAATGGTAGTTTTTCCTCAGTGGGTTGTAGTTTGAGCGTTCTTCTTAAATGGGGCTGGCAAAGAGCCCATGTTTTGAAACAAAATGCTGATAATCTATGTGAGCTATGAAGCT